TGCATATTGTTCTGTATGATCTCAATTTATAGCAGACCTAGCTAGAAATTTGAAATATACAATTGCGAGTTAAAAAATTGAAAATTGAAAATGCATATTTTGCATATTTTGCCAATTTTAGCTAAAAAGTGCATATTTCATTAATTTTATACACATATTATGCATATTTCATATTTTTTTTTAAATAATTGATTTTTTTCCTTCTTAACCTGACTAACCTGTTAATTTCAACTAATATTGAATATAAAACTCAAAATGATCAACTAAGGTATTTATTGTCATCGCCACAGTTAATTACGGAGTTAATAACAGTGATGTACCTACTGATGTGATACKAATTTAGTCTATCACGCTAGTATGCCGAAATACTTATTTGTATTACTATCTTATCGTCGATAARTTAYCGTAAATATAATGATGGTTTCTTTGTTTATCGTTACTGTTGATTGTACAYGATTGATGTTTGACAGTGACAGTTTCGTTTTAGACGTCGCGTCGTATTGTTAGTAGCCAGTAGGTGAAGTGCGTACATTTTTGGAATTCAGAATAATGTTTTTGCATATTTAACATTTTTAATGCATATTTTGCAATTTTTTCGTACATATTTGCATRCATATTTTACCTTTTTTAGCTCCTACAACTTCCGAGCCCTAGTGATTAGTATAATTTTCAATTCACCATAGCCCCAAAATACCAAATATTGGCCTCTAATAATATCAAGTTGCATAAAGTTTGATAACACAAACACTTGTGACTCGTTTGAATTTTTGTTTAAATTTTATAGTTTATCTGGTATATAATTACATAAATATACTACCTACGGTAAGTACATCTACATTTTCGAAAGCATAATTGGCTTCACAATTTACTGTAAAATGGTAGGTTGTTATCGTATGGAAAAAAGTTTATTTAATTATGTCATTAAACGATTCATGAATTGTATAAAAAATCAAATTATTAAAAAATATGGGCTTTGATTATAATGGTACCTGTTAAATTAAAAACCAATAATCATAATTTAAAGTTGCTTTATAAATAATAACCAGYAGCTGGTATATGATAATTAAAAATGTATAGCCTATAGGTATAAATCACGTAAATCACGTACTTCGATAACTCTGCTGAACATAAAGCTTTGTTCGTCCGTCATGTCGTTGAGTTTTGAAAAACGTTCAGTCAATTCCTTTAAATCTTCGATAGATACAACACCGTCATTGTTTACATCCAACAGCTCATGATAAAGAGTCAAATTTGATACACATTTACTGTCCAGTTCCTATTAAAAATTTTAATAGAAGATGAACAAAATATACATATATATGTATTTTGTAAAAACCCGAAGTATGAAAGAGTATGTATGTTACGCAAGGTATATTTAYTATACAGGAGTGGGAATAATTATCTGAAGTATAATATTGAAGAGGATGATATAGGTATGGTCATAAGAGGATGGATCAGTATTCAGTGCCTGAGTGACTAGTATAGAAATGGTATATACTGCAGTATATAAGAAACGTATATAATATGACCTAGTAATCTATTTAGTAAATTAATTAAAAATGTTTTTACATAAAGAATCTTTTAATATTATGCAATATTACATAATTTTGCTAATACGGTGAGTCGGTGAGATATTTAGATGAAAATATAAAATTTATCTTCGTTTTAAAAATTAATCATTATATTTTATTAAGTATATAACAAACATTAACTCAAGAATTTGTAACTATAATTTTTAAAAAAATAATATTTTATTTTACTATACTTTATCGTTATTATTTATTTATAATATTATTTATACATTAWAAATTTTCTTATAGTTTTGTTATAATATTTGTTTGATAATTTCATTAAAGTTTAACCGATTTCCATACTATATAAAAATAGTATTAGGTAGGTACCTATACCCACTTATAAGAATTAAGAGTGCTTAATCTAATCACTCATTTATATCTCACATAGCATATGAAACTGATCACTATGTTAAATTTTTTATTGATTATAGTTATATGATTAGTATAGGTAAAGGGAACAATAAGTCAATTTGGACATTTTTGAATTATTAAATATTCTACACAGTACATTATTAGAATACTCAATTTTCGTCTGTAATGAAAATTATTATATTACATTATATTTTTTTATTCTGACGTTCTATTAAAGTATTAATAAAATATTGTATGCTAGACGCTAGTATATATAGGTATTTACTGGTATTACGATTACTTAGCCAGTAGCTACCTACACATTATATATTATATTTAGGTAATAGTACCTACTAAATTAAGTTAGTAATTRTTCTTACTGTAGTAGTATTTTTCTTTTGCGTACATTGGTCGTTCTCAAATAATTTTCTGCTGATTAAAAACTTATTTCCATTGTAAACAGTTTTCGCACAGTAATTGGCTACAGTAGGTCTCTTCTATATAGGTATGAAAATAAACAATTGTACATTATAAAAAGTTTATAAATTATAACGAATCAAAAAAGTTATAGATTTGTGTAGGTACTTACTACAGTATTCATATAGTAGTATATAATCTTTAGTTATACTTAAATCCTACATTTTGGGGTGATTTTTAATCTATGAATTRGGTTACCTAATATGACAAAAAATAATATTATTTCGGAAAAAAAACCACTACGTCAATAAATTACACCTCCGTATACTGCAGCAACGTGTATAGATCTACTATATAGACTTCTATAGACCTTTTACTGAGTTTTTCTCATAGATCGACTCATCCTATATCAAATACATTGATAATCAAGTGCCTAAATGGCACATTGATGCAGTCGGTTTAGTATAAATAAATAGTACCGATATATAGTACTATTTCAGAGTAACTCAGTAACCAAAAAATGCCACCTTTCTTGACACGATGGAAACGTGAACGGAAACGTAGCCAAGTAAAAGGTCTAATGTATTATGTTTATTATTAATCACATGGTACCAGTGGTTTATTCAATCTTACTATTATGGTTGGATCCTATATTACCTATAACAAGGTATCTATTTGCGTATTGAATTGTATAATACATTATTTTGAGACTATTTTTGAAATTGTTTGTACACCTGTACTAATACTAAATTACGCTACAATTGATACAATTGCAAGTATATAATATTAGTTTATGCTTTAAATYAAAATTCAAAATTTCAACAACTTATTATTTGTTTTTGTATCATACTGAATAATCTAAGATGTAAATATTTTAKAAGTTGAATTACCTTCTATAATCTRCTAAGCTTTTCAATAATTAAACAAAATATATTAGCTGCAGCAGTAAGGATGAAGAGGCGAATAGAGTATTGAAATATGACATAACCCATAATAATTATATGTACGATGCACTTATTTTATATTTAGMGGGCTGTTRTATWGCGAGTACAAACACTGGAGCTYGTGACATGCTTTATTATATCATTATATTATGTACATATTGTATTAGTATTACGTAGGTTGGTGTATAATATCGTGACGCATAAAATAACACTATTGTTATTTGTATTTCTTCTCTAATGTTATAGGCTATTTAATACTCTTATAATGTTATGCATTTGACTGTCAACACATTTAATGGTGCGTATAGATACCTACTTAAAAGCTCAAGCAAACAACTAAGCCAAAAAATAAAATAAAACGAGAGATTAATAATTTCTACATAAATAATTTGATATATTATGATATATACTATGTACATGATAAGCGCATTTATATATTTATACGTTAAGCCCCATGATAAATGTAACCTCTAGAATAATATTATGTATCTAATATATTTACAGTTATTTAGAACGGTTGACACATCATCGACGACCTTCACGTTATTTTAATTTATATAAGGGATCGATATTAGACACATATATATGTTAGTTAAAAATAAGAAAAATAAAAAAATAAGAAAAACGCATCGAAATGATCGGCTCACGACTCTGTAATATCCGGTCGGACCGACTGTATAATAAGTAACTAGGGAAAAGAATAAATTCTATTTAAATGCTAATAGCGTTTCAGTAAGACAAACGGCTGAAATCGAACCGTCGCCGTCGCACCTTGGTACTCTCATCGATGAAAACCCATTAGATTTAGACACATATACCTACGACGTTATATACGTGAATGGTCAAAAAATTTAAAATAATAAATACCCTAACCTTGAAGGAGATTCTACACAAATTTGATTTTCGAAAAAACATTCACGGACAGTTGACAATAATGCAAATGTGCAATACAATATTGTGAAAAACWGATGATGTGATGTGACGAAGGAGCAGCAGGTTTCAACTAAATGGATATCGTGTTTCAGACAATTTATCATTTCCTTCCCACCGTGGATCACAATACCGATTATTGAGTGCCGATTTCCAGCATCAGCAGCAGGAGGTAACCCTAACGAAAAATGATCAAGGACATAATATAACAATAAGGTATTATAAACCTACCTACCGCCCACATAACAMGATGACGACATGCGGGAAGACTTTTTTTACGATTTTTATTCATAAAATATTGTGTCCTGGGGATGGTCACAAAATCAATAAAATAAGCGAAATGTCCGATTTCCGTAGAATTATGTAATTGATGATTTTAACACAGTGAATAATAATGATATAATACAATAGCAGTGGMGTATTTTGGATCGACCCTATCCCTCTTGTAGAATTGATTTTTCATTGTATTTTTATTTCATCTGTAATTATTAATAAGCTATCGAAATAAGTCAAAAAGAACCTAAAAATTATTTTTTAAATTATGTTATATCCACCTATATATCGAATTTATAATAATTTTTGGTAAAAAAATCAGGCGAATGTTCMCTCACGAAAATAAAACACCCTTACATAAGTTCCCATACGACAAAAATTATAACGATTACAAGTTTCCTTTTCACATTATTCCGATTTAGAGACCAGGACTGACAACTTAATAGTTTGTATAGTTAAAAATTGTTTGTTATTGTGGTGCATTAAAAGGTCTAATCCAGTTTTTAATTGAATTTAAATATATAAAAACCTATATAGCTTACGTATTTTAATTTAATTAGAATTATTTTTATGCAATACAAAAAAAACAGTGTTRAGTTCAAATTTTCAAATTTTTATTCGTTTGATAACTTACGTACTGGTGTACTTATATTTGTTTAATGAAAATTGCATATAAAATTGTTTACCTGATATGTTTCATCTAAGAACTCATTAAACTCCCAAAAGTCGGGTCTCTATAAAGTTATTAAATTTTAAAATTAGGTACAATAAACTGATTTTTCGAAAAAATTCCAGTTCACAAATATTTTTGTTTTCAAAAGTACCTAATYGGAATATTTTTGTTTGCCCTCTTCTCGCTYAAAGTACCGACTAAATTCTGTTATGATATAAAAACAGTATTCAAAGTTGATGATATGAACATTATTACTGCTCCAAAAAGTGATGTAAAGACAGGTTAAAAAATAAAACTAATAAACAATATATAATAAATACAAAAAATACGATATCTAGTGATACTAGTGATAGTATTAAGTATTTTTTTTTTATAAAAATGCATTTTTATAATACAGAAATATTTTGTATGCATTTGAATTTGGACTATTGTAAGATATTAAATACTWACAATCCAATATCAATTGKCTATTAAAAAGGTAACTATAAGATTTTAATTTATGGAAAAAGATATTAAAAAAACAGTATAACCTGCACTTATCTATATACTTTCCAAAATAAAAATAAAAATATATTATCTTTTTTTCGTAATACTTACCATGTAAAGTACAAGTCTTGTCAAATTTAACATTTTGTATGATGAAAAAAAAAATGTAATTATTCAACTATGAACGAATGCATGTATTTAACAATCCAAAACCGCTGATCAAACTGTTTTTTTTTTTTGTTAGTTAATAAATAATAATAGCAATTAGCAACCACTAGGTAATAGGAAATCAAAGCAGTAAGCACCAATATCCAATGATCCCGTATTTGGCTGAAAAATAATATGACAAACCAAGATAAGATGAACATAAACATGACGTATTGTTTTTAATTACTTAGATTAGGGAATAAGGTACAAAAAACATACCTAATGATTCGATTTTAGTAAATGTCTCAAATTAATTGAAACAATAAACATGTCAAAGTGCACAAAAAAAATATACATTTTAAATGATTATTTATTTAAAAAAACTGGATTATGTAATTATTACATAATTATAAAGAATATAAATATTGATTCTTGTTACCTATTTTATTTGTCTGAACACATTAAAC